TTTTTCCTTTGATAATTTCAACAAAAAACGATTTCTTACATACACATACAATAATTCTGACTAAAAAAAAAAAATAATCAACGTCTTTGTAATCACCTGTTAGAAAAATGATCAAAAAAATTTTTTTTTCGTCGAAAAAAAAAAAATAACAGTTCTTTATATTTAATTAATTTTTTATTATTATTAATTATTTTTGTTATATGCATCAAGAGTATGTACATGATAATATAAGCTGTACAACTTTTCGACAACGCACCGTAAAAATTTAATTACAGATAATTTATAATAGTAATTATAGTAATAATTATAATTATAGTATTCGGTGACGCGCGCGTGAATAATTGCGGGCAAGAAAAAATAAAAATAAATAAAACATAAAGACTATTTAAGGTAATAAAAGGCGGAAAAAAATTTATACAAATAATTATTTATACATCTGCTAAAATGTGTGTATTAAATTCTTTCGTAATTAATCAAGTATTGCAAATAAAAATTGTAATATTGGCACATTAAAAACAAAAAATTCATTTTTCTATTTATGTCGTGTATGTGTATGCACTCAAGTTAATTAAAATAAAAGAATTTTTAGCCCTTAATGCACAAAAAAATACTTAATAAAAAATATATATTTTTTTATATATCGTAGCGTCATTAAAGGCAATTAATTTATTTTTGAACGCGCGCGCGCATTTCATACACAATTATATTAATTAATTAATAGTTGTAATTATAATTATATTAATTAAATACCGTAACAATAAAAATCCTACATGAAGTGTTTTTTTCCAGATTTTTTTTTCGGTTTTCTTTTTAGTATTTATTTTTGTACAGAAAAAAACACCGAGTCCTAATTAATTGCTATATATGAGGCATAAAAAAATGTATGTTTTTTTTTTTTTTTTCTATAGTATCGCTTGCTTACATAATTATAAATAATTGATAATTACATAAGTTTTAACCGACGAGGAAGAAATGTGTAGCGGCGGTGAGGGAGACATATCAAATGAGATGGTATATAATTGGAGTTAACGCAGTCACACTTGCACTCATGAACACATTCATTTGTATACACATACAGACACTTTCTGAGTGTGCAAGAGTATGTGTATTGTATCTATAATGTATCGACACGCATACACTAATAGTTGTTTCACACTGAGGACGGTAGTAAGAAAAATCACTACGTATTGGCATTCGATGGTGGTGGAGGCCTTCGATCGTAATCGCGTCTGTTGGGTCTCCAGTCACTCGGATAACCACCACCGCCCCCGCCATCTCCAAGGTAACCCCTATTTCTATAATGTCCAGACGGTGGCATGTCTCCCGGTGGGTAATTTCCTATCCCGCCGCCGCTGTTATAACTACCTGCTCCTACTGGTCCGCCGTACCCGTAGTTATTTTGCGGTGGTGGACCTGATGAGTATCTTTGATAGTAATCACTGAAAAAAATTGAATTAGATTTTATAAATCGTGATAATATTTTAATTATTAATTTAGTTTAAATAATTGTTAGGATGATAAATACCTTCTTTTATCATTTATATGCATTC